GGATCCCTCTCTACACCATATAAGCTCCACTCCCAGTTAGAATCCTGCAGTCTCCTGAAGACTAACAGAGTACACTGTTTGAAACGTCGAGTTATTCCCTGGTTTTTCTCAGAACCACACGTACTCAAAGAAGAGATAAATACATGGTGTTACCGCAATCTTTACTATAAACTTCATGTTAACTTACTGTACTTTTGTGTTAGTCTTTCGTTCCCGAGTCACTGAATTCTTACGCTCGCAATGCCGTAAGATTATGTGGGATAATGGAATCGGTGCTGAGTTAGGTCAATATGTGCAAAGGCTTCCGGTCGGGTAGAGAAAAAAAATCTAGCGCAAAACCGTCGGCAAATCTAAAGCCGTCACACCTTTCTCCACCACAGCCCACTTTTGAAAATTTTCAGGAAAACTTCGAATTCTTTGTAAACAAACTACCGGTTACGAAGAGAGCTTTTCACAAAAATCACTAGTTTTGACCACTCTGGTACTATTTCTCAATTTAATTTTTCACAAAACACTTTAGGAAAAGGTCTTATTTTACCATGAAAATATTTCGGGCAGGAATTTTTATTTCCAAAAAGTAAAAATAAGACGTACATGTAAATTTCATGGAAAGAAGCAGCTGTTTGCCTGGCAGGAATTCCCGTGGCCCTCAGTACGCATACAAAATGACCCATGGCGCGCACAATGCGGTGAGCGCGCCATGGGGTGCGCAAGTATATGCGCGTTTGATGTGGAGTACGCTGAGTTCGTGTAACCAGTCTTTGCGTACGCGTAGAACGCGTGCAAGAACCCGCTTGTAACCACCTGTCCTTTCGCCGACTGAGTGTGCACTTCAGCTCGGAGCGGATAAGTCATGTTTACGGGTGCATTCTACCAAAATGTATGGAGCGTCAAAGGGGGACAACCCCATTTTCGTTTTTTTCTGCAAGAAGTTATTCGGGATTTTGGACTTTGCGTAAAGCATTTTCAAAAATCGCAGTTTTCCGCTGGCAAAAATTTGGATTTTACTTTAACAACTCTCGTGGCGCGTCAAAAGTAGACAACTAAAAACTTCAAAATCCCACTGACAAAATTATTTTCTTGCTCCAAAAGTGGACAACCCCATTTTCTCATTTTCTGCTAGTAGATTTTCCGGACTGATAGTTTCCGGTTCGGGGTAACTCTTTCACAAAAGCCCCCAAATTGCGGGCCTATTTTGGATAGAGGCGGGCAGAAAGATTCAGAGCTGAGCGCATTATTTTGCTACTATTTTGGGGGTATCTTCGAGAAAAGGCGAATTAAAAAAAATTTCGTGGCTAACCCCCATAAAATTGAAACCCAAAGTGATTTTCTGGCCATAATTTTGAATTTCCAACGCCCAAACGGAGGCCGACCACTTCACGAGAGCCAACAGGTAGCGCTATTTCGGTCTGATTTTGCACTGTTTTCTATGAGAGTGTATTTGGTGCAATGCAACCTTGCAGTAGCCAAATTAATAGATTCCCGCGTATGCGTATTTTCAGGGGGGTAAATAACAAGCGTTACGAATTTCATTGCGTGTACTTTCAAATGGAGTTTTTAAAAAACCGGTTAAAGTTTTTGTGTTTCAATCGTCAGTTTTCGAAGAAAAACTGAACTCCGCACTTGGAAAGGATGAATGTGAAAAGAATGATGGTTGAGGTGTACGCAGCAGTGAATTACCGCGGAGATCAACGTCAGGTTTAGAAGAAGGAACGGGAGGAAACGTGAGTCGTACATTTTTAGTTTAAGAAAGTACTTCATAATGCTTTACTTTGAGCCTATTATAGGCGCAGTAAGAAATGTTATGACAGTCTATATCTAGCCTATCAGGCTTTGTATATGAAACTTCAGTATCTCGAAGTTGGGACCGTCTGAAATGTTACTTATTGGCAAAAGTGGTTTCAAAAACTGAATGATTAATTTGTCGTTTATTTTTCCCAGATTTCACCGGAAAAATCCCCAAGACAACCATGTGTTTGTCGGATCTAAAGACGTACTGAACCCAAGTAGTGTGACAGACGTTTCTCGGGGCATGAAACCAAAGTGAAAAGAGCAGAGTGCTGACGCTTCTGTTGAATGATGTTACAAACAAGGGAATTCAAAGCCTTCACCGCAACGAAAGAAACTTTGTCTACATAACAAAATTATTCATTCTCTATTAAAACTGACTTTTTTGTGCCGGAAAATAATTGTAAAATGTAAATCTTTAAGTCAGGTTGTGAACTCAACTTTTTAAAGCTGATTAATAAGTGTCTGTTTTTTAAAACGTTAGTTTGGTCGCTTAAAGATGCGCTTACTTTGTGCTCACACAAAAGATTCTCACACTTCTGTATGCCGCATGTCGGTTTTCAATAAAATTTACTCAATATATTGTTGCGCACCCGCAAATCT